CTGCCGTCGTTGTCAGACTAACGAGCAACAGCGGCAGGTGCGACGCCGGGCCCATCAGGATTCGCCAGCATCGGGCCGCCGTTAAGATCCAAGCCGCTTTTCGCGGCTGTTTGGTTCGTATCCATAACTATTATTATTTTTTATTATTTATTATTTATTTCTCTGCTACGTACTCACGGATTCCTTTTTCTTTTTTGAGTTTTCTGGTTTGGTTTTGGATTCCTTCTGGTTCTGTTCCTTGTGTTACTCAGCTGTTCTCTTTTGTCGTTTTGCTCCGAACTGGTTGCCTGATAAGTTTTAACTGCAAAATGTGTCATTTGTCATTTCCTTTTTTATTTTCTTTACAGTCACAATTAAAGGAATCGGAATCGGTCTTCAGGAGTGAAATTTGAGTGTAGAAACTTTTTTGTGGATCTAGTGGTGATGTTGGTACCATTTCGTGTAGGACAAGATTGGTGGTGGATTGCATTTGTTTTTGCATGTGTATTATTATTTATTATTTATATTTATTTATTACTCATTTTCAATGCTTGATTTCCAAATATTAGCGGAATTGTGTGCGACACGGTTCACTTCTTCTACCCTGGCCCATAAAAAATGCTCTGTCTTTTTGGTGAAATAATGAGATTGGGCTTTTGGCCTTTTGGTTTTGTGGGGACAGATAGGAGTGTAAAGGGGGATTTGCTTCTCTAGAGTGAAGAGGCGTAATATATTTGATTTTGATGTTGTTGCCCTTAGATCTGCTTCTATGATTTTTCCAAGACGAAAACAAAAGATGGGGTAGTGTCCTGTGTGAGCCTAGGTATTTTTTGATCTACAACCTGGCTCAAAGTTGGATCCTGTCTTTGCCTCTTGGTTGACCATCTTAATCTTAATAAGTAATGGGAGGTTTTTTCTTTTATTGTGTTTATAAATCCATGTAATAAGAAGTTAAAGATTGAAACATTTTATTAAAAAGAAAAATGTTATATTAAACACATAAAAGTCATTCTACATTTATTTTATAAATAATTTAAAATGCTCAATAATGTGTATTTTAATGCTCCCACAGTCGCACGTATGTTATGTTCTTATAATAAAAAAAATCCCTCAGTAATTATAGAATGCTCGATATGTGGACGTATACTTTAGTTATGATTTACTGCATAGTTGGTAACACGGTACTTACCATGATGAAGTGATAAATAATTGTTTTTTATTATTATTAATTTTATCATAATTTTAAAAGTGAACATATATTGTTATTGTCAATCCAAATACACTATTTTTTCTTCTTCTTAGTTTTGGATAGAGTAGTCTTGGGGAAGGAGGATATAGTTTTTTAATTAAAAATAATAATTATCCTTCAAGAATTCTTTTTCTGAAGGTTTTTATTGGAGAATTTTTCATCAAGGATGAAATAAAATATTAACCTACAAAAATTAAAAATCCATTATCATTGCATGACTTGAGTGCTTTAGTATAAGGTCTTTCATTTGGCTCATAGTAAGTTTTCATTCGGCTCAGTTATGCACATCCTCGTGACGTGACACCATATATCTGAACTCTGGAATACTTCAATTTTGAACTCTTGCACAAATGTGTGACACAATTTGGTCCTGAATATGTCAATCGACTGTGTTAGCATTCTCACATTGTAATGAAACACCTAGTTGAACTCAGAATTAATATCTTGCGGTCAAGATATTAATTCTAATATACTCTTTCATGTTGAATTTGTTAGGCAAGGAGAGCACTGCGAGCATTAAAGGGTTTGGTGAAGCTCCAAGCACTGGTGAGAGGTCACATTGAGAGGAAACGCACAGCAGAATGGCTTAAAAGAGTGCAAGCTCTCTTAAAAGCACAGGCACAAGTCTCTGCAGGGTTGACCTTGCATGCCTCACCTTGTAGTGCAAAGTTATCTAGCCAACTTCATGTAAGTATTAGCAAATTGTTTCTTCCATTGCCTTCTTATCCTTTTTATTGGAGAATGAAACACGATTTTTTCTTGTGTTTGAAGTATATAAATTTGACTTTGCCAATCAAAGTTCTGATGCACCATAACCAAGACTAATAGCAATTTGGTTTGCACCTGTGGAGAACACTCATTCTCTTGTTAACCATTATATCACACGGTTGAGCAAATATGTTTTGATATGATTACATTATTGTACACCAAAAAAAGAGATGATCATACAGTTTTCTGAATGACCATTTGCAGGGTCCAGCAACACCAGAAAAATTTGAAAGTCCCATCAGATCTAAGAGCATGAAATATGACCAGTCACCTATACTCAAGGTATTCTCTTGCCATAACAAGGGAGAATTTTTATGCATTATCAAATTCTAATAGTCTATACTGAAGGAAGCATTTATGTCATTGTAGAGAAATGGCTCCAAATCCTGTATCCAGATCACTGGCTATCAAGAGATATGTGGGACTAGATCAGAGAGTCAAGTACATGAACACTCGTGGAGCTCAGGAAGATCATTGATAAGAACTTATAGCTCCAGTGATGAAAGAAATGACAAGGTCCTTGAAATAGATTCTGGAAAACCACACTTCACACTCAAGCGTAGAAACCTCTCTTACTCCACGGGTTTTGACCATTATAGCAAGAGTTTGAACAGCACAAAGGAGTCAACATCTCTTCAATCGGGTCAAAGTCAATGTTGTGAAGTTCAGTCTTACAGCTCACAAAAGATCAACGAGGTTGAGCAGAGTCCATTTTGCACTGCAGACAATAGTCCCCAATTTTTATCTGCCACTTCTAAAGATGAAGGATTCAAAAGGAGCCCTTTTACACCTACTAGGAGTGATGGCTCTAGAAGCTACATTCGTGGCTACCCTGACTACCCAAGTTACATGGCATGCACCAAGTCTTCAAAGGCAAAGGTGAGGTCTCTGAGTGCCCCAAAACAAAGGCCTCAAAGTGAGAGATCAGGTTCATCTAATAGGTACTCACTCAATGGATTTGATGCATCAAGATTGGCCACGCAAAGGGCAATGCATCCAAACTTCGCCAACAAAGCATATCCAGGTTCTGGTCGTTTGGACAAGCTTGGTATGCCTGTGGGGTACAGATACTGAGTTACTGCTTTCTGTTAAGAGGGTTATGTATCTTTCATTTTCGTAGTCTTAACATATGATCTTGCTAACCTGTTGTACTTTGGGCTTCCATTGTGACTTGTGAGTTAAGTGTCAGCATTAGAAGTCTATAACCAAATTCAGTGCATGCTGCCAATTGTCATGTCATTTTATTATTGCTTACTTAGATGGACCGTTTAAAACGAAAATTATATCTTAGCCTTTCTAAGACTGAGACTTGTGTTGTATGTTTGTCAGTTTCATTCCACGCTTTATAAATGGATAATGACTTTTAAGATGGGGAAAATACATATCTTACAACCAGGGGAAATCTCAAGAAATAATGCACTTGAGAGTATACATCCAACGAACACTCAATTCTGCTAAATATACTTTAAAAATTTCACACAAAAACATTGAATTGGTTTGTAAATTAAAATTATGGTCATAATAGTTCATAGATAAATTGAGTTAACTTGTTCTACAAATAAAATTTATTACCCTTAAAATAAATAAATTAACAAATAAGGACAAAAATGTCAAATCAATCATTAACCTAAAATAGAATCAAATGCACTCGATTTTAACTATATATTTGAATTGACGTGGTTCGTATGCAATTAAAACAACAAAATACAATCAAGCTATTTTCGATATCATTTGTTTCTAAAATAGACTAAAAAAAGTTATCTTCTATATCATTTGATTCTAAAATATACTCAAAAGTGTTATGAAATGTTTGGATTTTGATATAGAATAAATAATATTGAAGTGGATTTTCATTTTAAAAAAAATCTTAGAAACCTCAAAATAGTTTTAATATTATTTACTGAGGCTGAAGACAATCTTTAAAGTCTAAATTACAGCTTTACTATATTATATTAAATAATACAATATCTGAAATGCTTAGGAAATTTGTGTAAATTTTTGTTAAGAGTGAACAAATCAACAAATAGTGAGCTGCAGTGAATCGTAGTCAACTCATAACAACATGGTGTCGTGGTGTAGTTGGTTATCACGTCAGTCTAACACACTGAAGGTCTCCGGTTCGAGTCCGGGCGACGCCATTATTTTAATTTTAATTCTAAAACTTTTGCCTTGTCACTGAGCCATCAGCGAACTGCAGTGCAGAGCTAATATACTAACTACAAGTGGAAAGTCCATTTGGGTGATGGCTAACACGCTAAAAACTACACCGTTCTAAAAAAATTGCATACTTATTAGGAATGCTTAATATTTTGAGAGACTCTCGGAACCTTTGCATTTTGGAGGGTTTTGGAACCTTTCTTACGTGGCATAATTATAATGGTCAAGTAAGCCAAGTCACTTAAATGAATAACAAATTTTTAGAAATTGTAAAATAGTCCTCAGTGTTTGGTAAATTCTTGGATGGACCACTTATACAAATAGTATATCATACACCCTATCACACAAGATTAAAGTTTCTGAATTTTTTATTGAAATAATTATTTTTAAAATTTTTTTACCAAAAATCACATGTTCCAATGCATTGATGAAACAGCTATTGACTAGCGGAACGGGCCGTTCTGAAACAAGAACGGCCCGTTCCCGATGAAATAATAACACATGAAAAATAGATCAGAACGGGTCATTCCGGACGAAAAAATAACACATGACGAATGAATCAGAACGGCCCGTTTCGATTTCAGAACGGCCCGTTCCAGATTAAAAAAAACACATGACCAGCTAAACCAGAACGGGCCGTTCTGATTTCGGAACGGGCCGTTCTGATTTCGGAACGGGTCGTTCTGGACAGAAAGGTCAACATATGGAAATAAACGTGAGCACACATAGATGGGTCATCCAATGCAAGGTCCATTGTTTCACACACAAGAATGCATGCAATGGTACATGGCCAATTCCATCTATTTTTTATCTATGTTAGACACCTAGCTCGGTGTTACCAACACCTAGTTTAGAGCTACCAATACCTAGCTCAGAGCTACTAACACCTAGCTTGTAGCTACCAAACACCTAGCTCGAAGCTACCAACACCTAGCTTGGAGCTACCAACACTTAGCTTAAAGTTATCAAACTCTTAACTTGGAGCTACCAACACCTAGCTTGGAGGTTTAGAGCTACCAATACCTAGCTCAGAGCTACTAACACCTAGCTTGTAGCTACCAAACACCTAGCTCGAAGCTACCAACACCTAGCTTGGAGCTACCAACACTTAGCTTAAAGTTATCAAACTCTTAACTTGGAGCTACCAACACCTAGCTTGGAGCTACCAAACACCTTGCTCGAAGCTACCAACACCTAGCTCAAAGCTACCAACACCTAGCTCGAAACTACCAACATTCAGCTCAAAGCTACCAAACTCCTAGCTCGAAGCTACCAACACCTAACTCGAACTTACAAGATAATTCGCTTTAAGCGACCAATAGCTTGCTCTAAGCGACCAAAATTCACTTGGAGCACTCGATTGCTCGCTTAGAGTGAGTGAAATTTTCTTTAAATGATCCAAGTTAGAGAGCATCTTTGAACGACCACCCAAGCTCACTTTGAGCAACCCCTATGGGCATTTTAAGCAACCAAATCCAAAAACCATGCATGACTTTGAGGAAATCCAAAATTCAAGAATAACCTCAAATCCTCTCAACCCATACAACAATACATGCATGCAAACTCAAAATCTTTCAATTATAATAACATGCAACTCATAAAATTGAAGAAAATGAGACGTTAACAACACATCAATCTGCCATCGTCAACCCCCCTTTCTTCACTAAGAACCCCAAGAACACCAAGGATCCACGAAATACAACACCCACCTCCAAAATCAAGTACATCAACAAACATTCAACAAGGATCAAGATACATGTAAGCCCCACAATCCACTAGGATCAAGTTCTAGTTTCCCGATTATGAGCTAATCGAGAGAGAGGATATGTGAAGAAGATTATAAGTAAAAAGGGGAAACATGCGCTTCAAGCACCACAAGGCTACCAATAGCTAGCTTAAAACCATCAATAGCTAGCTCAAAGCCACCACACACCTAGCTTAGAGCTACCAACAACTAGCTCAATACTACTAACACATAACTCGAAGTTACCAAACTTTTAGTTTAGAGCTACTAACACCTAACTTGAAGCTACCATCACCTAACTCGAAGCTGCCAAACAGCTAGCTCATAACTAACAGACACCTAGCTCGGTGTTACCAACACCTAGTTTAGAGCTACCAATACCTAGCTCAGAGCTACTAACACCTAGCTTGTAGCTACCAAACACCTAGCTCGAAGCTACCAACACCTAGCTTGGAGCTACCAACACTTAGCTTAAAGTTATCAAACTCTTAACTTGGAGCTACCAACACCTAGCTTGGAGCTACCAAACACCTTGCTCGAAGCTACCAACACCTAGCTCAAAGCTACCAACACCTAGCTCGAAACTACCAACATTCAGCTCAAAGCTACCAAACTCCTAGCTCGAAGCTACCAACACCTAACTCGAACTTACAAGATAATTCGCTTTAAGCGACCAATAGCTTGCTCTAACTTGTATTATGGGCCTTAGTATAAGAGTTTTTGGGTTTTAATTTTATTGGGCCTAATTTTGGGCTTCTTGAGCCTTTGGGCTTTTGATTGCTTCAGAGCTTAGTGAGCCCAATGAGTTTGGTGGGCTTAGGGTTCTCCTTAGTATAAGACTTTTTGGGTTTTAAACTTATTGGGCCTAATTTTGGGCTTCATGGGCCTTTGGGCTTTTGATTGCTTCAGAGCGTAGTGAGCCTAATGGGTAGTATATTTGGTAATATAGGAGTTTATATTGTTTGGTCTTGTATTATGGACCTTAGTATAAGACTTTTTTGGGTTTTAAGCTTATTGGGCCTAATTTTGGGCTTTATGGGCCTTTGAGCTTTTGATTGCTTCAGAACTTAGTGAGCCCAATGGGTTTGGTGGCCTAGGGTTCTTCTTAGTATAAGACTTTTTGGGTTTTAAGCTTATTGAGCCTAATTTTGGGCTTCATGGGCCTTTGGGCTTTTAATTGCTTCAGAGCTTAGTGAGGCCAATGGGTATGGTGGGCCTAGGGTTTTAACTAGAAATGTCTTATTTCTGAATCTAGAACGAGCCGTTCCGATTTCAGAACGGCCCGTTCTGGTTTAACTGGACATGTCTTATTTCTGAATCTGGAACGGGCTGTTCTGATTTTAGAACGACCCGTTCTGGTTTAACTGGACATGTCTTATTTCTGAATCTGGAACAGGCCGTTCTGGGTTTGGAACGGGCCTTTCTTGTCTATTCTTCATGTGTTGTTTTTCATCTGGAACGGCCCGTTCTGATTTCAGAACAGGCCGTTCTGAACCTGAAAACCAAAGTGTTGAAGTTGCGTAAATAGAATTTTTTTGGGTAAATTATTTTTTTTAAAATTATTTTAATAAAAAAATTTGAAAATTTAGTGTATATAATAAGCTATTAGATTAGATGCATCTAATGGTAAAGATTCATAGTACATGGTAGACCACTTGGACTTCAGCTTGAAATAAAAAAGACTTAATAGCAAAATTTTATAATTTCAAATTTAACTTGACATGGCACACTTAAATGAAATGTCTTTAAATTATTGGTCCACATATAAAAGGTACCAAAACCCTTTGAAAAGCGAGGGTGCAGTAAACTTTGTCTAATATTTTTCTCACAAAATAAGTTTTGTGAATACTTATGGTATGGTTCATTTAGAAAAAATAGTAAAAGAAAATAAAATGAAATGCAAGAAAGGGAGAAAGATAAAAATCTTTAATTTTTTTTCTTTTGTATATTGTTTGATAGAAAAGGAAATAATTCTTTTACTTTTGCTTGTTTGTGTAAAGAGTACTAAGAAAGAAAGGAAAAAAAATTCAATATATCATAAATTTGAGTGAAATTGGACTCAATTTTTTAAGTAAAGTCTCAAGTTAAACTCTTGTAGATGAGAAAAAAAAAAGTAATTGATGTGCTTCCACTTGGATGCACATAGGAAGAAACTTCAAGTCTCCACGGATCCTTGGAAGGAACGTCAAGGATGGAATCTCCAAGAAGACTCAAGGTGGCCGTAGCTTGCTCACAAGCTAAGTTCCAAAGAAGTAAGGCAACCTAGCTCTACAAAGAGAAGCACTCAAGGAGGGTAGAGAAGGTAGCCAAAGTGACTTTCGGAGGGAGAGGTTTCAAGTATTGAAAACTCATTCAATTAATCCAAAAGTAGTACAATACTTGGCCATAGGAAGATTTATAGGAGAAATTAGGTTAAGGGTTTAAGTTGGGTTTACCTAGAGTTAAGTAGAACCATGGTATGGTTAACT